TTCGTCCTCCAGACAAAAGGTCTCCCCCGCCCGCCCCCCATCCTGCATCGCCGTGTAAATACCGGCTCCCGGGAACGAATAAAGCCTTCTGCGCAGCCGCCAGCCCTTCTGCTTCCGCGTCTGCACTGTCGATTGTACATGGGAATCTGCGTGACCGTTGATCGCGTTATAAATACTTCACCCATTTTATTCTGAATTTATTAAATGTTTTTGGAACATGAAGTGATCGGTGTTACTTGAACACATCCAGAGGTTATTTCAACCAAACCCAAAACCCAGCGGCCAGGCGGCCCCTCCTCCAGGGGCGCAGCTGGGCGCACACGCTCGGTGGCCAGGGTCCGCCTGAGCTCTGTCCCGACTCCGATCACGGAACAGGTGCTGTACATGTGTGTGTCATGTATGTGCCTGAATTCCAGCCCATAAATAAAGCTGTCAGAGAACCGTGAGCCGTCTCTTGCCTGGCACGGGTGTGCACAGCCTCAGTCAGCCTCCACCAGGACGCCCCTCAGAGCCACCCGTTAGATCTGGTCCCTGCAGACACCACACACGCTGCAGTGACCAAGGCCTGGTCCTCAGGAGGGGAGGGTGGGCAGTGGTGCCGGAGCCCTCGGCCCCTCCCGTCCCGGCCCCGTCCGCCCACCGCCCCAGGACAGGCCCTCTGGCCCGGGGTCAGGGTGCTTCCGGGCCCCTCGGCCCTGGGCCGGGGTTTGAGCTGCTCGTCCTGGGCCGAGGCTCTAGGTCAGTGATGGCGAACCTGTGACACGCGTATCAGAGGTGACACGCGAACTCGTTTTTTTGGTTGATTTTTCTTGGTTAAATGGCATTTAGATACATAAAATAAATATCAAAAATACAAATCTTTGTTTTACTGTGGTTGCAGATACCAAAATATTTCTCTATGTGACACGGCACCAGAGCGAAGTCAGGGTCCTTCAGAACGCGGACCCGCCGGGCTCAGAGGGCTCGCCGTCACTGCCCCAGAGCCCGGGCCGCAGCAGCGCCGGTGCTGGGAGAACTTCCTCGGGCCGGTGCTTTACCCCTGACCCAGGACCGCCTTGGTGACGCCCAGATCAGCCCTTCCTTCGTAACTGGGCCCAAATTTTTCCTGAGCTGTGGGGTGTGGTTTTTTCGGTTTTGCTTTTGGTTTTGTTTGTTAATCCAAACCTGAGGGTACTTTTTTCATTGGTTTTTAGAGAGAGTGAGGGGAGGAGAGAGAGAGAGAGAAGAAAAATCGATGTCGGAGAGACCCGTTAGCTGGTTGCCTCCCGCACTCACCCTGACGGACGGGGATAGAACCTGCACCCAGGTACGTGCCCTTGACTGGGAATCGAACCCGAGACCCTTCAGGGCCCTGGATGGGGGGTGGGGTGCTAAGCCTCTCTCTCTACTCTTACGAGTAATCACATGAAGTAAAACTTCCCTTCACGGAGCACGAGGCTCTGCCGACCTAGCCGCCCCCCCCCCCATCGGGGTGTGCGCAGCCCCAGGAGCTATGCCCTCCGGGACTAGACTCTGCCCTCTGGCCCTGGCTGGGCCATTGCGGGCGGGGTCCATGGGGAAGCCCCCTCTCCACAAGATGGCCTTGCGGGAAAGGACCCTCCAGTGAGCATGTGTGGCTCCGGAGCCGAGGCTGGAAGGGCTGCTGACTCCAGGGAGAGGTAGGTGCCTGTGCGACACACTCGGACCCCTGCGGCTGGCTCCCGGGGCCTGCCGGAGGGACAGGGACTGCTGAGGGGCTAGCCTGCGCTCTTCTGGGCCCGGCTGGGCTCGTTGGGGTTCGCTGGGCTCCTGGGGGGCTGCGCAAAAGACAATAAAGGCAGACGATGCCCTCCGTGTGAGCGTGCCAGTTCCCGTTATCCCGGGAGCCCTGTGTCCAGCGCCTGGCTACCGTCTATGAAGCAGTGCCTGAAATGCGCACGGCGGCACAGCGCGCAGACGGTCCCCGGGCCTTCCCGCAGGGGCCTGGAGCCCCCGCTGCCTTTTCTGAGCGCGCCCCGGCCGCCCTGGGGTGAGGGGGCCCCTCCTCTTAGTCCTGGGGCCGCCTGGGGGCGGGGCCAGGCCGGGAAGACGGCGCCCCGTCCGCCGCGCGCGCGCCCCCAGCGCGAGCTCGCCAGAGCTCCTCCGAGAATTGTACTTTGCGTTCGGCTCCTGGAGGAAGAGCGAGTCCTCAGGTGGGTTGGGCGAGGAGCTGGGGAGCCGGCGGGGCGGAAGGAGCCCTTGTTGGGCGGTTGCTTTGTGGAGCCGGGAAAGTTGGTGTGAAGACGCGTAAGCCGGAGCCGCGGGCGTCAGCGCAGCGCGCATCTTCTGGGGGGACGGGAGCGGCGCCCCGGGGAGGGTTCCCCCGAGCGAGCCGCGCGCGCG